TGCTGTCAGCACTAAAAACGCAACTGCAGCAGCAGCAGCAGCAGCTGGAGTGGGGCGTGGGCAGCAGGGGCGGGGTCGCTTTTAATAACTGAAATGGGGATTGCTGGCTGTTGTTCATTATTGGCAAAATTCATAAATGGGCTGGCGGTGGCGAGTGCGTGAGTGCGTTTTAGGTTTAATTATAAACCAAACAGACGAAGCTAAAAACACATAAGAGAGAACTAGGCGTACGAGCACGACTAGCAGATACCCTAGACGATTATTCAAGTATCATTTTACTTTATTTTCAAAGAAACTAAATGCCATATAAGAAATCTACCAAGAGATACCCAAGAATCTGAAAGCTATCAAGAATCTGAATATATTTAACTTTTGAGTTAGGTAAATAATAAGATATAATATGTGTAAGCATATATGAATATGATTTACATACGTTACAAGATCAAATGTGTAATATATTTCTTTGAGGAATACAAGACAATATGCAACTTTAATTAAGAGAAATTGAAATAGGGCTAGCTCGATTCAGCTTGGCTATGGCTGTGGCATTTACAACTGATTCTTACATACTTTCGCACTCAAGCAGTACACCCTTGCTACACCCAATTCCCAATGGATTTGCAGTATAAAATCGCCTGAGACAAACGGGCGCTATGAATATGGATCTGAATACGAATCTGAATACTCAAATGCGTGCTCGTCTGCGTTCAGGCAACAGCAGCTGCTGCATTTATGAGCCGACAGATACTTTATATATATATATATATATATATATATATATAAACATAGAAGGCACATCCATCAGTTGGTTCTTGGCCCGAACTGTTCGACGTGCCCAAATTGCATTTGCATTCAAGTTATTTGCGCTAATTTCACGTTATGAAATTTTTTATTTCGCACATTTGCGCAACGCGTTTTCTTGCCTCGTTTTTCATTGCAAGTGGAAAGCGGGAGGAAAACTGTAGCTGTAATTAAAAAGGAAAACTAAATTGGACTAAACAGACTGCGCTGGCTATCTGGTTTTAGTTGTAATTAAATCGCAGCTCCAGACTACAGCGGATTGTCTGCGGCATTTGAAGGATAGCCTGAACTTGAGCTGCACTAGCAGAAGGCTCCAAGGGAAGGAGTCCAGTTTAGACGGCAATTAGTTGCGCAAAAACTATTTCAAGTTCTCAACTTGTATGGCTTAAAGCAAACTTAAAGTTCGCACAAATTGAAATATAACTGAAATTCCAGAACTCAAATGTAACAACTGTGACCAAACTTTATTTCAAATAAAGTTGCGGGTAAAAGTTTTATCTTTGAGCTGTGAAAACTTAAAAACATTTTAATTAAACTTTAATGAATGCAAAAAGACTTTAAGTTTAGACAACAACTTAATGAGTTGTTATTATGATAGATATATTTTATGAAAGAGAGGGAGAGAGTGAGGGAGAGGCATATATAGCTGAGGCATATATAAATTGACATAGCTTTTCCTCTATCCTTCCTTTTTATCTTTCCTTAAATCTTCCTATCTTTACTTTTTTCTTTCATTCTTCTTTTAGATTTATCTATTTTTCTATGCTTCTATCTATCAAAATCTATGAATATATCAACTTAACTGTCTATTTTGTATATTTATCTATTCATCTTCATATATGTTTATATATTATGTTTTACTACCTACCTAAATTCTTGTCTAACTAAATGTTTTATATTTAAATTTTTGTCTATCACGATTTTCATATAAATTTATATAAATATATAAGAGATTTCTATTTATCTAGATTTTTTATCTAACTCAATTTAGACTTTATATAAATTTGCATCTATTAGATTTCACGTGTATCTTTCCATTCACCCAATTTTCGCTCACTTTAAGTTTAATCAACACAGTTCGTCTCCTTTTTTAATTAAATGAAAATATTTTTCGCTTTGAATTAGATATGCCAACTGTGTATAACATGCATAATCCAACTACAGCCAAGCCTCTATCCCCACGCCATCATTCTCACACTTCTATTGTGCTCTTTGTGCTGGAATCAGCTTGGTTAGTCTGTCATAAATATCATAATAATCAACAAAATCCACTTGTGCAGCTCTATGAATAGCGCTCAACTGATGCAAATTCCATGCCAGTTAAGCGAATTGTGCTTCTCCTTCTCCTTCTTCTGGTAGTGGCAGTGTAGTGCCGTCCAATCCGGGTCTGACCACCCGGACACTGAGCCGTAGACACATTGCACAATTGACGCCATCAGCGACTCCAAAAAGGAGATGCCACAGCGCTTTTGTTATTCAATCCGAATGCCAAACAAACGGGTGGGCGTCAGCACAAAAAGCCAACGAAAAGATTGTTTGTGAAGTAATCAAAAATGTGCACTGAGAGAAAAGCATGGAGCGTGAAATAAAAGTGTTAAAATGTAGTTTTCTAACGAATGAATAACTGACAGCTGGAAGAGACGGGAATGAAACTTCTGATTGGCTTTCATACTTATTATAAATTTCTTGTTGAAGTTGTGGAAATTGTACACTGCGAAAAGAGATTGACATAAAATTAAATAACATTCATTACTGAGTGGAAAATGGATAATTATCATTTATTTACAGCAAAAAGGCTTTTTCCATTATCTAATTGATCGAAAGATGAAGAAAACTTTGATGATAATTTTATTATTTATTTTTAAATTTTCACATATTTTTTTTGGCAGTGCAAGTGCGAGACATTTGTGTAAGTCCAGGGCATTACGTCTAAAGAACATTTGTATTTTATGTATTGTTCTGTGCTAACAACTATACTTAATATGCAACAGCTATTTTCGGTGGGCCACTTGAATTTCACTTTGTCAAGCCTTTTTCCAACCTCGGCCCCATCTGTCCAGCTCCTCCAATGCTCCCCTTTATAAGCCCTCCCCTCTTTTGGTAGCTCACGCAGTAACCGCATCTCGCATTGCTGTGCGATGTTTTGCGGTGGTAATTGCACGCGCGCTGAAGCATATCGTATGTTGCAGGTTTCCGTTGCTGGAAAACCGGGAGAAACGACCTAAAATAGCGGAACCATGGATGGGAACAAAAAGAAAAACTAGATGCAGGAGGGGCCAAAGGGGTACGTATGGCGGCCTCGTCAATATTGGCCGCGACAGCTTTTGTTGTATGCACGAATTGTACGTGTTGCAATCTTCAATAGATACAGCAGCAACAGCAACAGCAGCTACAGATACATTTACAGATACAGATACATTTTCCACTCAACAATTGCGAGCGTGCGTTTGTTCTTCTTTCACGCTTGCTGCATCGAGCTGTGACTCGCTCTCGCTTGCTGAAAAAACATGTTCTTTGTCATGCTGGCTGCCTCTGGTCTGTAGCTCGTTGTACCATTTGTATCTGTATCTGTATCTGAGCCAAGTGCATGCGCCCTTTGGCCCATTAGGGCGCAACCGTGCATAATTACATCTGTTAATGTATTTGTACACGCATTTCCATCTGTAGCTGTAAGTGTGTTGTATCTGAATCTGAATCTGTGTCTGTTGTTGTGCTACGCCCCTTTTTTTTAGGCAATTCTAATTACACGCGCAATGATTGATGTTCGCGCCGTATCTTCTGTATAGTTTTTTCCATTCCCTATTGCGCTTAAGCTTCTTTTGTAATATTTCAAATTTTTTATCATTAATTCTTTCACAAATTTCGCTTACTTACATCAAATTAAAAACCCATAAATCTTTCTCTATACACATACTAGTTTTTTTCATACATATACAACATATATATATATGCACAAATTTTCACACACAATGCAAACCGCAATAGCCACAACATCCAGGCAGTCGATTTATGTTGCCCTTTTAATTTGTCACTCGACACGTCAATTATATAAATCGCTTCTATATGTTGCATGCTGCTTGATGCGTGCTTCGTGCTGCGTGGCTGCATGGCTGCATGGCTGACAACATTCCCATTCTTATACATAAATAAAAACAAAAGATATTTTTATACTCCCGCTCATGCTGAGCGCGGAGTATATTAGTTTTGTACAATTTCTGTCTTGCTGTTCTTATAGCTGAGACATAATATTTTTTTATTCTACGAATTCGTATAGATCAAAAGCGTTAGCTATCCTTACTTTATCTAATTCGCAATGAAATAAAATAAATAATATAAATATTAATATGAATATGAAAAATAATATATATAAAATTAAGTAAGATAAAGTTTAAAAAAAATACAGAACGAAACTTACTTAAGAAAAGAGAGAAAAAGAAAGAGAAAAATAACTATTCCATAATCTCTTTAAGCTATATAAACTAAACACTCTCTATATAAGAAATTAGCTTAGCTTAAGCTATATAAATAGCACGTCTTATATAATATCTCAAGGTAGTATAATGTTAAAAGAAACTTGCTTTTCATTCACACTAAAAACATAAAAATATTTTCGTAGCCGTAAAAAGTCAATACAAACAGCTTACAAAAATGATAAGACTCCACAATACACAAAGCAGAGTATTAAAAAATAATGTTTATGAAAGTTAAATATTTTGTCAAGTCTTCAACTTTTTTCTTCTTTCTTTCATGCATTCCGTTTTGGGGCGAATTTATATATATTTGATAATAATGTGTGAATTTTCTTTTCTTTCGACTCTCGTTTCAGCTGCAACACAACTGAAGCACATCCCCACACCCAGGCACAAATGCAGGGTATATGTGTGCGTAGAGAAATGCCAGCTAAATTTTTACTATTGATTTCTACAAGTGTATGAAAAAAGCTCCATTGCTCAATGGCTAAATAAAACACGCAGCCACACTGAGAGAAATAATCTACTGATTGCATAACGAGCGAAAACGTGTCGAAAAAAACTAGAGAGAAGGGGAAAAACAAAATCAACAACAGTTGCAGCTGCCGTTGCGGCTACTTTGCTTAATTGATTTCTGTCTTGCAATGAGGCGTTTCAATGCCAACAACAGCAGCAACAGCAACAACAGCAACATCAGTAATAACAACAAAAATTTGCTGATACCAACTAAACAACAACAACAACAACATTCACATCTTCAGCAACTGTGCGACAACTGCGTTTTGGGTGCGTTTCGTGCGCGTTTTTCGCGCGCGTTTTTTAATTAATTTGAAATCGCGCTTGCCCTTTTTTTGTCTTTGGTTTCGGTTTGGTTGTGCGTGTGTGTGTGTGTCCGAGCGGAAATCAGCAATTTAATTTACAATAAGACGCTTGCCAAGGAGGCACCCGAAAGTGGAGCAAAAACCCATAAAAAAGAAGCAAAATAAAGGAAAGTCAAAGAAGAAGAAGCCAAAATGTTCGCGGGCATCAGGAAGAGACTAGCACGCAAGTGAGTAATACAGAAACCTCTCTCGTTGCCACTCTTAAGTATTTTTGTCAACCATTTGAGCTGCTTTTATTTTATCACTGTTGTCCCTTTACCCTAAAATACCCTAACTTGGGGAGAGTAGATATTTCAGGCTAAGGCTTGAGTTGTCTGCCAGAAAAGAGAATATAAAATGTGTATAGAAAAGATAATTAAAAAATTGGCATTTAATTGTTGTTAACTTTTATATTTCTTTGAAGCTTGTAAAAGTCTTAGTTTAAAAAATTAAATTTCTGTTACGGGATTTGAACCCTTCTAATATTAGTGCATACGAAATTCGACTTCTGAAAATGCATTTTCCATTCCTGGCTTTATCGAAGTTGTGCCTTCGTCGTTTTCATGGCCCAATTCCTTTGTTAATGACTTACGCGATAAAGGTCAGTGCGGGCGACTGGGGACTGTGGGGGGCTTGAGCGTGGCCAACCCTCATTCCAGGGCGTTTTTCAATTTGCAAAAATTAGAAAAAAAGTTGTTCTTAGAATATCGTTTACTATTTGTCTAATTAATTTTGTTGCACAGCTGGAGTTGAAATTTGGAGCTCATTTGCACGCAGCACTCTCGAGACGCAGCAGAATATTTGGGGGACAAGTACAGCTGTGTGCGCAGCCCTTCCCACTCCCTAATAATGCCAGTCAGCAGCATTGGAGAGCGCCTACGCCCCCTTCCCCATCCACACCCGCTGTTCATCGCGACATTGAAGCTCATGAATTTGCTGATTTGTGCAAATGTTGCACGTTTCGACAACAATCATCATTTATCATTATTCGTCGTCATCATTATTATAATCATTTTTGAACGTTTTTTTAAATGAGCCAATTAGCTTAAAAAATCTTTATTATTAGCCTGATTGCTGAAGACGAAAACCAGTTTCTATAAACAAAATTGAATTATGCCACACAAATTGATGGCTGAACTGTTGTGGTTTGCGGCGCGTGCAGACCCCGAAACGATCTACCAAAAAGAGTAATTTCTAAAAACTCTTTTTTTTTTGCAAAAAAAAACTATTATCAACTATTTTCGTGGGAAATTTTCATGAATTTCGTGTTAGACACTAATGAAAGCCAAAGAAAGTTGAGGAGTTTGAAGAATAGGCGCGTAATTGCTTAGAGTGTGGGCGCCTCCTACAAGTATTCAATTGTAAGCCCACATGAGAGGGGGAGGGAGAATGAGAGAGAGCTTGAGTGGCTCTTTAAGTGGGGATTATTGGGAATAGAGAACTATTCTTTTGAAGGGAATTAATTCGTATACCCTGAAATCATTGAAAATGTGAATTAAAGGTATAATTGTTTTGTTAAAATATAAGTTATAGGCAGAAGGAGAGTGACAGACCACTTAAAGTATATATATTCTTGATTTGTGTCAATAGTTCTCAATCTGCCTGTCCGTATGTATGACCCTTTGAGAGCTAGAGTCTTGAAATTAAGTTTGTTTCAAATTGAACTTCAATTGAACTTCAGTTATTGCATAGATTCATTTCGAATCATGAAGGCGGACATCGTGTTATATAAAAAACTATTCTATTCTATTATATCTTTAAGTCCCTAAAGTATGCATATTATGTAAAGTGAATCACAATAGAAGTAAGAAAATTTAAATCTTTCGCAAGGCTTTGCTTTTCTATGTCTCTTTTCACTTTTTAAGTGCTCCACTTTAGCTTTAGCTTTAGCTTGAGGTTTATTACACATCACACGCTCCAGTATCTGGCTAAGTACCTGCACAATTCACACCCACACTTTAAAAAATACATATATTTGAAAGCCCCTTGGTAGATGACAAAGGCGAGTGTTTTTCATTTTTATATTTTCCTTCTCTTTTTTTTTTGGTCGAAGTTGTTTACAAGTCATGATGTGCTAATTATTACAGAAAAGTGCAGCCAAATGCCTTTTAGCACTTAACGTTGACGGCAGCTGGAGGGCTAACAGCAACAACAACCACAGCAGCATAATACTTTAGGCTCAGGTGCTAAAAACACCTGTGCAAATAGAAACCGAAAACTCTAAAGTTGAAGTCGAGGCCTAAACTTCGACTTGGCATTTTTGTAGGTGGCAACATTTAAGCTACATAACGGAGACTCTAAATATATATATGCATATATATATGTGTATATATCCTCATGTATATATATAAATTGTTCAAGCTTCAAATCTTGTGTGTGGGCCCCCACACACACGCACACACACTAACAATTTTCATAGAAATTAAACGCTTGGTCTCGCAATCAAGCGCGACTAAATTTAAGAAATAACAACTATAGACTATGCAATCGGGCATACACGACTGCAGTATGCCCGTTCATGGCACAAAAACAGTCGAATCGATTCAAGAACTCGATCTTTAAGAGTATATCAGGCCCCCACATGGCACTTTATAAGCTTATCTATGGCAGAGTAAAGCCAATATCTACACACATCTATACAAGAAATCTTAAGGCTTCGACTAGGCACCCAACCCAATATACTCTCTGATCTGTTCACGAACGAGCATGAAAAATAATTACACGAAAAGCCATAACACACAATTTTATTTAACATTAAACATTAAACACAAGATTTTATGTGGGCAAGCATTAAACTTTACGCGTGCGGCCCACAATACGTGCGATAACCCCTGAAAAAGTTGATGAATTCTCACGCCTATAAAACACAAACTCAAACTAGACAACAAAACTGAGCTTCAAGTCGAGAGTCTTGGGCTACAGTGAAGCCCACTGTAGCTCTAACTGCATACATAACATATAATTAACTGCATCTTGAGTTTCCTTAAGAAAACTTACATTTATTGCATGCCTAATTATGATTGATACGGGAACACAGGAAATATGTAATAGGGCGGAGCTCTCATATGTAATATGCTTGGCTCTGAAACACTTTGATGTGCTCTGGTGAAAGTTTCAAGTAATTTCTCATCGTTAAGATTATATATTATGATGGTAAATACATTTTTAAGAAGTTTAAGAATTTCTTGTGCACGTAAATTAGCTGAGTACTGTAGAGAAATGGTGAAAACTGTAAGGCTTAGAACCTTGAGCTTCCTAGAAAAGTGATAGGTTTAGCTTAGAACAATTTCAATGAAATATTTTATAAGTTGGACAGCAATATGCGCTCTGTATTGAAAATATATCAAGTAAATATTTTCATATACCACATTTTAGAAAAAATGTATCAAATATATCTAGATATATTTATATATGTAAAAAGATATATATAAACAGGGTAGGGGAGGAGATAGATGGAAACTTGGAAGCAATTATTAATTAAATATATATTTATATAGACATATATATTCACATTCATACACACATAGTAAAATCATAGCATATGCTTCAAATTTTAGTCCATATGCGTATGCATAACCTTCCAAAATACCCTGTAGCAACGGATATGACAACCAACAACAGTTGGCTTTGGCGCCTTTGTTGATAATTGTTGTTGTTGTTGCTGTTATAGTTGTTGTTCTTGTGCTTGTTTTTGTATTTGTTGTTCGGTGCCCCAAGCAGCGTTTTCCATTTTGTGCTCATTTCTGCTGGCTGCGCTCATTGTTCTGCCTGAGCTTGTTGTGTAGCTGAGTTATCAAATGTATCTTTGTATCTATTTCTGAAACTGACTGACTGACAACTTGTGAGGCTGCGCATGTGCCACTTAGACAAGCTTATTGGGGCTTATGGGTTAAAGGAAATGTGATGCAACAAAGCGTGAGGCGGCAGCGGCACCAACTAACGCAGTTACAAACTGTGCGTGTATAATAGGCTGCTGTCTGTAGCTGTAGCTGTAACTGTGAAATGTATCTGTATCCATAGCTGTAGCTGCTAGCATGTAGCATGTAACTGCCTCTGCAGCCTTGCGCTAATTTCAAACTAAGATTACAACGGAACAAAAAGCCTAGAAAACGAAACTATTGCAATTACCGGATATGCGCAGCTCTTGATAAATAGCTCACATAGACGGCGTATAAACGTACGTCTTCTATTTTACGATAGGGCATGGAGTTTTTCGGTTGCTTTTGCCTAATTGCTGACGACATTCGATAAGCTTTAGTGCGAGGGTAGCATTGACACAATTTTCAGACTCTTCACAGTTCATAGTTCATTTGCCTCTCGTTAAGCAATACACAAAACATATCTTTTGTTCGCCTTGATCAATAGATAGTTAGATAGAGCACACTCCATCGTAAAGTAATTGTAAATGCGGAAGAGCGACAAGGAGGGAACTACAATGAGCACATTTTATACCCAGCAGCTCCTCTGCTTAGCAAACTTTACAACCGCTCCCCAGCCTCTGCGTTTAGCTGTCATAAATGCGCCATTAGAGCTAACAACTTCACTTAGACAAGACACCCACCCACAATACTCTATGCCTCTCCCCCTCTTCCACTTGAGCACTCTGTCACACACACAAAAGATATGCCATTTTATGCATTTCAAGTGCGTCGCCGTCTGTGCACTATCTCACATCTCTAATAACTCTGTGTGCATGTGTTTGTGTGTTTGTTTGTATATGTGCTTGCTGCACTCCGAACATCCTCTTTCGTCCCTCTCTGTGTATGTCTGTCAGAGCGAGTGAAGTGTCAATTCCATCATAAGCCAAAGTGGCGCACATATCACATAACATTTTCACAAAAGGGGCGACAGGCCAAATCAAAAGAAAAAAAGCAAAATTATTGAACAATATCTCAACTAAACGACAAATACAAATGAAATGTGGGAAAAGCAACAGCAATGCCGAGTTTTATATACACTTTCAATCTATGAACACAATGTGTTTGCATAAACAAGAATATTTTTGCTACTCACCAACACACACGCACACACACTAATGTATTTATATGTGAGCAACTATTGCCAACAAGAATTTGCACTTAGTAAAAGGTTATAGCATATTGAATAATAGCAGCAAATCAATATAAACAACACAGCACAGACTTCACTTAAGCATTAGTTCTTAGTTTTTAATTTAAATTCACACTTA